CTGGAAAGCCGAGCTCCCTTCCTGGCAGTGGGTGTCGGAAGTAGAGGAAAATAGCAAGGAAAAGCGTTGCCCTCTGGGTCATAGGTCATCTAAAATGGTGTGACTCAGTAGCTGAACCAACTCCATATTGATCTGTGGGAAACATTAGTGAGGATAGCTAAAGAGTGCATCAGGAATCCACCGATATTCAACTTTACTACACAGATTTATTGTGTTTGGAACAGGCTCAAGGCTAAACCAAAGCATTGTAAAAAAAATAGAGGTATCTTATCAGTTTTGATCAGTATCTGAGGGCAGCCTGCACTTTTTTTATTTTCCTAGAAATAACCTTACTAAATCATCTAGCATTGTATATTCTGATTGAAGCTTGCTGGCAAACTTGGGAAAATTAGTAATGTTTACAACAAAAATCCACATTTACTGTATATTTGTATAACATTGTGTATCAAAGCACCTGTAGCCACACAGCATGTTGGTACATTTTCAACAAAAATGGTAGTGCTTTGTTTCTTTAATTATCAAGTCTAACTAAAAATAGGAGGAGAGTAACAAAACAGCTGCTCTATCAGTTTTTAATCAGGTAAAAATAACATGCCGCTTTTCCTGCTTTCAACATGGCTTTATATCTTTGCTGTCGAGTTTCTGCAGCTCCCACTAGGATATAAGGAAGAAGTGTCATCCCCCCCGAGGTTCACAGTGTGACTTAGGCAAGTCTTTACACAGTATTTGTGACTGACATAGCACATATCGCTGGAGAGGATGCACCCTTTCCTTTGTCTTCCTGGATCCAAACAGTCCAGGGTGATTTAGACCTGTAATGTGTGTGTCCACCACCAGAGGGCGTGTCTGTCTGTCCGTCCTCCTGCATCCAGTCCACACTGCCCAGCAAAGTGCTCAGTGTTTAGCAGCTACCCAGAAATGCACTCATGACAAATCAGAGCCCCTCATTACTTTTGACACTTGGTCTGATTCATCAGTGGGGACGTGGCCCAATCAGAGAGGAGCTTTCACTCTGAAGTATCCATTTACCTGTCCCATAACAACAGACTGCTTTCAGGAGGGCTATATGTTGTCACTTTCTCACCTCATCAAATGTTCTTTTACTTTGTTGTTTCTTTAGGCATTCTTTCTCTTCCTCCACCATTCCTGTATCTGCCCTTAAAGGGATGTCACTTTCACTCCACATGCCCAGACAGTTGCACAATTTCACCACTTTGTGCACCAGTCTATCGCCACAGATTAGACAGGGGTGTATATTGATGTGGCTGGGGGACTGTAGGTGTTAAACTGCTACTGTGAACGGCAGTCCCAGAAAAACCCTGTTTATGTGAGAGTGGGTTGCAGACACGGAAAGAGAAAACAGTGTCCTTAAAAATCCTGTTTCCCACTGAATTAATAATAACTTTGGTCCACTACTAGCGGAAGTATGTGTTTTAAAGGCACTCACTCACAGGACAAGACAAACTTGTTTCTTAATGGATAACTGCTTTGACCAGCATTGTTTGTTCCTGTATTGTCATTTAAATCCATTCTTGGGTGACAGCTGTGACTCATGTACTCTCTACAGGCTTACGTTATACAGTTACTGGTATTTGAGCTCTCTTGTCATTAACACGGATGCTACCAGAGTTTAGGCTTTTCACTTCCAGGGTTTATTACACAAATAAATCAGCCTGAACTGAGAGGTACACATAGCTTGCAGCTATTGTAATGTCACAAACCGGTATGTCTAGTTATTAATGATACAAAAAATATAAACAGTTACCCCCAATTGGGATAAAGTAGCGCCACACTTCTGACCAAATAGCTGCAAAATGAATGAACACCCCATCAGCCTCGCCATGTTAGCATGTAGAGGTTGGACACAGTATCTAATCTTAGAGCTCAACTGTAACAATGTAATAATGTTTGTGTGTAATCTGTATCACTGTGAACACTTAATATGACACTGTGGTGGTAACAGAGCCATGTTCTACATCTAATGTTGTAGTTATGTAACGTTTGAATAACAATGGACAAAATATAATTATAATTTGATAGTAATGGCATGCTGTGTCATCTGGAGTTTTGAGAATCCAAATTAAGCAGTTTAGTGTGCATCATCATCACACCAAAATAGGCATTAAAGGATTCAGAGCTGCAAAGCCTGCCTGACAACAATCCTACGCCTCTATGCACAATGTAAGAATTAATGGTCGCTGTAATTATTTCTCTTCAACTCTGGCCATGAAATGATCTCTTTCAAGCATGACTAAAATGTAATAAATAAGGGGGTGGGAGAAGATGTCTACAGTCCTGGTTTTCTTTTTAATTAAGGAGGTATTGTTTATTAAGGAGGTATTGTCAAGTCTTTGTCGTATTAATTTCCATCCTTGCTTTTCCACAGATAGTGTTTTTTGCTCATCTGTTGTTAAGGGAATTGTGTGGTCAAATCACAGAAAGTGGTGCTAAAAACTTTTACATTTGAAAGACACCTTGATTTGCTGAAATCTCATATTAGCTTTAGATTACCTTCTTATTGCATCTTTCACAAAACCAGGACTTGGTTATCTTCCTTATGGCAGTCACGCTTAGAAAGTAATACCCCTTAGCGACCAATATGAACACAAAGAGTTAAGAACTTGTCCTTCAGGCAAATTAGGTTTGATCCATAATGTAAAGTACTTATCTTAAAAAGAAGTACTGTAAATGGTCTGTACTTCTAGATACCTATCCCCCCACCCCCTCACTGCAAATGTCAAAGGATTTCATTTCATGACATAACGTCTCTTCACAGATGTCTCCTAAGATCATAAACATCCTCATTACCATAAGCTTATGAAACCACATTAGTAGTTTGGTATTGGACACCACTACTACTTGACATATTGGCATACAGCTTTATGTTTTGGCTTTGCCCTGGGCTGTTATCAGATGACCAGTTTGATATTTCCTGCTGATGATTTCATCTGGGAGGACATTAGAGGGCCATTAGTCTGGCGGGGTGTCTGAGTGAGGCAGGAAACTGAGGTGTTGGAAAGAGTTACAGTCCGCAGACAGTGATGGAAAACCTGAGGATGACAACAGTCTCTATCTGACGCCCAAAATAATCTGTGTGGACAGGTAGAAGACTAAACTGGCTCATCCAGTGTCAGGTGATGTTTTGTCCTGAAGGTCACTGTGTCTAAATAGATGCTTTGGGTAATGTGTTTGTTTCAGTTGCACGCAGCAAGGGATGACTGCTCTGCATCGACGTCAACAACTTATGATGCAATTGACTCAGGTGAAGGTAAAATTCCAGGACAGCCTGTTTTCGATTTTGCCCATTATTATTAATTATATATTATTATACGGAGATTGGTTTACACACATTTTCTATTTTACTTCTCTGCAACAGCCCCTCTCTTTTTTTGAAGCCTCTCTAACAGTGTGGCATTAGCGATGGCAAGGTTAATTGGATGGCTGTTTCACTTCCTTCGAAAACAACGCAATATCTCTACATTTCCCAAATTTGGTCCATGTTCCCAGATGGACATTACATTCTCATCAGCCTCACCTGTACTTCCTGTTTGGTGCAAATTAGAAAATAATAGCATGAACCGAATGAACTATGGTCCTTGTAAACCTTCTTTTGTTCCTGCTGCTGAACATCTCAGATGTTAGCCCATGGGAATGCGGTTTACCAATTTCATTTTCATAATCCACTGATATTATACCATCAATCCTTTTAAATATTTAGGTGACTTTTAAACTCACAAAACAATGAACATATTTACCAACATATTTATTGTAAGACAGGCTTTTTTAGCCTTACACAACTTAGATTAAATGTTGTTGAACTCAGTCACCTAAAATAAACTTTACACATATTCATGTGCTTGCATTTCTTGGCATTATTACAGCATATGAAAGTCAAGCAGGGAGATACATTTACGTCATGATATGAAACTAGATATCGTCATGTGTTCTCGTCATCATCTTTCCTGCTCTTAAAGGCTGCAGTTACGTGATTTAAGTTTAGATCATTTAACTACTCTGCGTAAAAACTAAACTTACAAATAGCTATGATCAAATATTTTATGAAGCAACAATTATCAAGCTATACCAACAAGCATATAAGTATGTATGATTGTGTCAGTAAGTGAGTTACTACTGCAGTGTTCACTCTTGCCTGCTAACTAGATTCCCAAACAAATAGGCACACGTACACAACAACACACCCATGTGAGATATTTAAGTGACCAATGTCACGCATGCTGCGTGGCTAGGTGCCATTTTGGCGCCTTTGTCTCTATGCTAGGGCGAGCAGCTTTCGTAAGTTGAGACCTGCTTCTTCATATGACATGTCATGCGGAGAAGGTCTTTTTGCATGTTAGTGGATCAGTGCCGCTCTGTTAACGCCAGTCTGGCAGCAGACGGTAACACGAGGCTACAGGGAGCTGATGCAGGCGGTAAAATAACCCGTTCCTGGCTGTATCTGTACCTGTTTGTTCCTGGGTTGTTTACCTAAAAAAGTAAAAGGTTGTGCTATTAAAGTGTGTGTGGGTATTAGCGTAAATGAAGAGACAGGGTAGTTGTAGTTTTTGGTGGGGCTGCAGACAGCTGGTTGTAAAAAGTCTGACATCTAGCCTTGCTCCTGTGCAGCTCGGATCAGGGGGCTTTGTAGCCCCACCACCCTCTTTAGATGGATGGGTTAACAGCAGCACTTGGCCCCGCTGGCGTTCTGTGAGGGTCACTGCCGAGACCACTTCAAATGTGCAAACCATAATCCCCCTCTGACATTAATATTTTCAGATGGAGGCAAGCTGGGTGCACAGTGGGGGGTGGCAATGTAAGCAAGGTCTTTTTGACTGGCCTTGTTTCATGCTGGCTGTGGTGAGAGACACTAAAGCCATTACTCACAGTGCAGGCATGTCCAGAATGTATTCTTAGCCCCTGTCTTCCTATCAGTCACTACATAAAGGTTGGAGGGTCAAAAAATAAAGAGGTAACCAGTCTGCAGGGCTGTCTGCACCACCGCTGTTTACCGGGGAGGGGGTGATATTTTAAACCTGCGAGAGCTTACATATTCACCCCAGTGAGCCTGACTGACTTGCCATTTGGTGGGTGAAGACGCTGGAGACCACTCATAGAGAAGAGGAAGAGAGTTTTTTTAGTTGCTTCTTTAAGCTACTAGGTTGTAGCTTTTACAGATAGAAAACAACCCAGAGAAGAAGAGGAAGACATAGAAAAAAAAAGAAGAGTTGAACCCAAGGTTTGAGGATAAAGGCGAGAATAGAGGGGGAGGCACTTGGGGGAGGCAAGAGGTAGCCAGGCTGAGCTGACTTTCCCCCCCGAGGAGGAGTTGCAGTTGCCGGCCAGGGCAGGTCCCAGGGCTGGCAGGGCTGGCCCTACTGCTTCTCCACCTCCATTCCTTCCTCCTCTCACTCCTCTTTCTCCTCCCTTTAACCATCAACCACACTGCTGTGCAGTGATGAACTCTCAGGCTGAGCCCGTGAGAAACACAGGAATGCTTAGAAAATCCTGCCAAATGAACTTTTGTTCCTCAACTGAGGGAAACTCCAGAGGTTGAACCTCCACAGCAGTAGACTGTCATCCTTCTGTCTTCTCTTTCTTTTTTAGTGCACTCACTGGTTGAGTGCACTGAGAGACTGAGGGGATTTTTTATACACTTTTTTTTCTCTCTATTTTTGCTTTCGTTAACCGCAACAGTGGCGTCCTTTTCAGTAGCACGGTGCAAGGACCAGCTCCATTCACCCAAGATGAGCCGCTGGCTGAAATGCACCTCCATGCACTTTGTAGGTATTCATTGTCAGTATTTAAGTTTGTCACCGTGATTTACTTGTATTGTTACTCTTTCTTCTGATTTCATGCTTTGTCTACAAATGGATTTACATGAATGTTTTGTGATAACAAAAGAATACTTATATATACAGTATATTGTGAGTGCTGCCATATGTCTATAGTTTAAATATGTTCTTATTGCCTATTTGTGCAATGGTGCTATGTACATACAAATGCTTATCAGTTAGGTTTAAAATGTGTTCTTGTGTTTCTGTTCATTTGACGTCCTGTTTAAGACTCCATACTTAAAGTGTGCCTCTCAGAAGCCCTAAAAGTACTCTGTTCCCGTGCTTAACAGCCATCACTCAGGGAGGGGGGATAGTGGAACTGCAGCACAGCACATTCTTGGCTTATTCTGCATTAAGTTGGGTCTATTATTGTACTACAAAAGGACAAATTACATTACTGGTATGTATGTTGTCTTTAAGTCACAAATAGACTTCCTAAGCATATGTCCCTGTTGTATTTATTAGTAAGCCAAAATGACTGGGAACCAAATTATAGTTATGACTTTCTTTTTTTAAATTAAGCAGGTATTTGGACAAATATTTGTTTAACTGTTCGATTTGGTAAATACTGTTTAAAATGCTGTGTGTCTGATACTTCTCTTTCCTCATTGTCAGAACACAGACTGGAACAAGTATGATGACCGGCTGATGAAGGCCGTGGAGCGCAGAGAGTTGGACAAGGTGGCTGCTGTTCTCAGCAAGAAGGGCATCATCCCAACCAAGCTCGACGTGGAAGGGCGCTCAGCGTGAGTAAACACGGACACACACAAATCTAGAGTATAAAAACATACATAAGCACATACATGTTCAGTGTGTCTACATTGTTTTGTCTTGATTGTTACGAACTATAAATGTTTTAATATTTCGAAATCTAAAAATGCTGAATGTCACAAATTCCAAACATTGTTGTGGTCTTCTCACAGCACATTCCCACCCCTGTTACTCAGATAAAGCATCCTTAGATGGACATTTCTTTCAAATCTCTTGCGCAAAAACAGTTTTCCCTTTGGCCTAAAAGTCACCCTGCATGACCCAAGAGTTCCCTTGGCTGAACTGACCCCCATGCACATTTCCGACTCAAACCTTCACCCAGCTGCTCTGCATCTGGAAGGCATTGCAGATGCATATTATCATGTGTCCATTATTATGTCCTGAAGTTTCTCTTTTGGTGTCCATCTGACTAGAGGTCAGTGTGGGAGCTGGCATAAAGAATGTTTGTGGCCGCTGAAGGCTGGAGCACATTGGCTGGAGGCTGTTTATGTAGTCACAACAGGAAATGACTCCCTGTTAGTTCAAATCTTGGCCACTGTGGGGCTTGAAACAGAAAGTAATACATTTTGGCCCAGCTGCAGGCTATTATCAGGATCTATTGATATCTTCAAGAACCTTATTTTGTATGCTAGAATCTTTCAGTGGGAACCTCAGGTTTTGAATCGTTTTTTGCTTTGCTAAGAGCTGGATTCACCCCCTTTTCAAGTGTCATTACAAGAACAGAAAGATTGAAATAGGTTGAAATGTAAGTTGTGGGTACAAAAGTAGGTCAATTTAACTGAAACATGAACAAAGCTGATCCAAAACATTTAATTATCTTCTACAGATGTCTTTTTATGGTTCTGTTAATTATATATCGGTGAAATGTTGCATTGAGCTGTTTAAAGAAGCAGTTACCTGGTTATATTGCTAAAAGTAACCAGATTCCAACACCAGCATTTTGGGAGGCTCGGCGCCCTCCTTTAATCCTAGATATATGAAGAAGTCCCTGGTAGAACTCTGGCCTGTGCCTCAGATTTATTTTCATAAAGGCTTTGTTAGCATAAAACTATGGAGCCACAGAGCACACAAGCAAAGGTGCAGAGTATTTTAAGCAGTGTGTGAATTCTCTTGTGGCACCATTGGACAGACCAATGATTGTATACATGTGTACACACAACCTGATAAATGCCTGGTCTCATAATAAGGTGCTAGAATTTGTCTGAACTAAATCCAGTGACTGTAAGGGTTTTTGTAAACAAACACATGCACACACATCATTTAGTGTTCCCCTGCAGGGCGGACCACAACTATAAAATCAACACATTGAATATTTATCAAAAGAGGTCACGCATTTGCCAAGACTACCCAAAACAAAAGTCAACCGCAAATGCAACTCAGCAAGTCTGCTTTTAGTACAGCGGGCCACACACAGACACCAACACGTGTCGTTGGCTAGCTGTCCTCTGCGAAAGCCAACATAGGAATGTTGAGTGGTGATGCCTTGTAATCATGGACCTCTGTGGGGAAACTAATTACAAACCGTTAGCCCTAATATATAATTTGGTTTGCCCTGGATTAGCCTCACTGTGTTCAGCTAATGAATTCAGCTCTAACTGCTCTATCGCTACTTCCAGCTGAGTAAACAGTTTACAAATCTGCCCTGGCATTAACTGGATCCCAGTGAGGTTAGCCCATACATCACACCTGCTCATTCTGTGCAGTGGTGATAGCTAGCTGACAAGGGCTTAGCAGCAAACAGAAGTTCACATCACAGCAAGCCACCGCTCACATGTCCCTGCAGCAGGAAACTGGCCCTGAGTAGAGGCACTGCTGCGTGCCCATCGTATGTTAAATTCATTTTGTGCTCTTTTGAGAATAGATTTTCAAGGCAACTGCAAAACATGCTGTGTTGTAAAAAAAAAAAAAAAAACCTCAAAAAACATGGGTTCATTGAAAGGATTATGGGGATTTATATGTTTTCTTTAAAGCTGCATTAATGGACTTTAGTTCACTGGGGAGCAGAAGGTTTTGAGTGAATCAATTGCTGGGGTTAGCCAGCTCGGTCTCACTTCCATAGAGCTGAATGAACGCTTAAGTTATGTCGCAGGCCAGGGGTGAAATGGTGTCCTATCAGTACTTGTTGGCTAGTTAATTGATTTTGGGTGGGGTTGTTCTTCTTGATAAATGTAGATAAAAAAAATAAAGAGTGCTTAAGTTAAATATACTTGAGTGACTGTTAATGTACAATGTGTTGGAAAACATTGTTAAAAATGAATAATGCTGCTTACAAGTTTATCTTGCAACCAAGCGTTTAGCTTTCCAACTAATATATTCTAAATGTTGTGGCTTCCTACTGGCACGTAAATGCATCAGAAGACTTGCAGACTTTTTAAAACAATGTGTACCAAAGGTCAAACAAGTGTGACAGAAATAACAGAGTAGGATTTAGAAGTATGAGAAGCTCCAACAGTCACAGTATTTAACTGTTTTGCCTTTAGAGACACACTTAACCATTCACTGTATATGGTTCAGCTACCAGCACATACTCTCTAGTTTACTCTTCACTGTACGCTCTCTAAATATAGCAACTGTTTCCTGTAGACTATCAACCTGAAAGTCGCCCAAGGAGCAGGTGTGAAGATGAAATTACATTACATGTAGCTGACACTTTTATCCAAAGTGACGAACAATAAGTCCAAGAAAATACATTTTCTCTGCTTAAGCCCGACTCATTAGTCTCTTACATTTCCTTTCTAAGGATTGTAATGAGGTATCCAGCTGGGTAAGCAGAATATATCTTCACAGTTCACAACCATCCCTTTTCAGTGTTAAACGTCTTAGTAGCTGTGCACAGAGATCATCATTGTTATTCGTCTGAGAGAAAATCCCTTACCCATAGTTCAAGTCTGCCATTATGGGTTTTTAATTCAGGTCAGAGACATTAGTCGGTAAAATCCCCCTAACTTGGATAGCTCTGCTCGGCTTCCTGTCTGCCGTTTGCTCCGAGAGTTCGGGACCCTCACTGCTCCCCAGAGAACCGGCATCTCCTGGCCATCAACACTGCTTTTAATACCCGCGGCAGTGTTGAGGTGACAGCCTAGCTGTCTCCTCGGCAGATACCTCGGGGTTAGTGTATAAACAGGTCCATGCAGCTCGATGGGTGACAGACTGAGATTGGTTTACACACAAGTGCTCTGCAGACCTTGATGGTCGGGGGTGGCAGTGCTGCTGTGGGTTGAGTTCAAGAGGGGAAACGGGAATGTTTCCAGGCAAAAGTAATGTTTAAAGTTATTTTGACAAACGCATAGAGAATATGAAACTCCCTAATTAAGTAAGGACTATGCTTACTTTGTGGCAAATAACTAATAATCAAAACATCCAGGTTAATTTGGTAGCTCGTCTCAAGCATTCACTCAAATGACTTGATCCTCATTAGCACATAGAGTTTGTCCAGTTCTCATCTTCTTTTGTTAAGGACTTCTTGTCAATGTTGGCTTAAGTTTTAAGGCCTCAACACCTGTTTCAAAATTAATAACTGAAATTAATAACTTGTGAGTGAAAGATATTTAGGTATTGCTGATGAGTCATTTTGTTTGTTACAATACAGACCTTTTAGTTTTATCACATTATGCAAAGAGGAGAGCTGATATTGAGGCAAACCTGATATTTCATTTTGTAATTTTAAAATGTGTTTACGTTTACAAATAGAAACAAACAGGGGTTACAGAAAGGTTGATTAAGACTTGATCAACCTTTTCTTGCAGGTCCATGTGACAGTACTTGGCTATGAAACAAGGAAGCTGATACATTGGCAATGCTGTTTGTGTGTAGCTCCTAGTCGCCTTGGGGTCACGACAGACTCTGAGGTTTCTTGTTATTTGATTCAAGAATGCTGATCTTGCTGATAGCAAGGAGCCAGGCGTCCTTTCCCAGTCTCTCTCTTGTCCTTAAGTTTCACCCTCACCCCCCTTCTCTTTACACCCTATCGCTTTTTCACTTGCCCTTCTTTACTACTTGCTATATACTCATTTCCAACTCCTTCTGTTTGATTTCCTCTCTCATTATTCATTCATCTACCTTCTTGTTTTGCAGGTTTCATTTGGCTGCAACGCGAGGACACCTGGAGTGTCTTAACCTCATCCTGGGACACAGCGTGGATGTCACTGCGACTGATGCCACAGGTGAGTTCAGGTTGGATGAAAGCAGTAACCTGGAGCTTTAGTTATATACTTTTAAGTGTTTTTAATATTTTGTCGATTCCCAAAATATCAACAAGGATACACTTAGGATAATATTAAAACAGTTTGCAGCAACAGCAAAAACATTGGACAGTTTATTTAGACTTGTACCACATACAAAGTCTTAATAGGTGAAAAATAAACCACATTGTACAGCATAGAGTAGACTTAAGGTTATTTTCACATCATCAAATAATAAATTAAGGTAGGTTACGGTACTTGTGCCAGACCCTATTTCCTGTTAAGAGGAGGGAGAGGAGGATGTCATACATAGAACATTGGTGTTATTAGTGGTCTGAGTAGTTGATTAAAAGAAACAGATTGCTGATTAGCATTGTATTCATTAATGAGGATGTGGAAGTAGGCTGAATAATGAAAAAGAGACATGCAGTGATCTCATCCCTACTTTCAAAAGGTAGCATTCTGGTCTCATTTTTACACTTTGCCATAACTTAAATCCATTTCATGTTGGGAACAGAATATAATTGCATGACATACAAACCAATGATATATTATAAATGAAATGAAATATGTCAATAAACTCTTCAACATCCACAGTCAGCTAGTGAAGACAAAATAAACACGTAGATTGTTATACCAGCAAGTAAACTTTCAGCAAATGAAACAGATCGACCAAAAGAGCCTTTCAGATAAGAAAAGAACGTGCATGGTTGAGCACCCCTGAAAATGTGACTGGAAATGTGCAAATGGTAATCTAGTGAGAGGGCTCTTTTTTGTTGATGAACTATCCAATCCTGGTTTTGGGCACTACTGAGAAATATTATTGTCACAGTGACATGGACTTTAAGTGGACTTTGTTATTCAAAATGATACGAATATATCCAGACGCATGAAAAGTAATGGGCTTGTTGTACATTTTAATCTGGTACATTATGTATTGTGTATGTCCTGTACATTTTTTTTGTCAATCTGTGACTCACTAATGCCTGTTAAACAACACACTGGGATCAATACTCGTGGTGTGGGATTTAACAGTAATGCACTCAATAAACTCATGCTTGTTACAAGAAAAATATATTTTAGAAGAACATTGAGTTGTCAAAGTGATACAAGCATGGTCTTACGTGCAGTGTAGCTTTTTGTTTGTGCGATTTCCCACAGTACGGTTATGACTTTAAAGCTCCTTTATGAAGGGTTGTTAAGTGATTGTTTTTTGTACAAATGCGTACAAAACCATCTCCTGATTGTGAATCTATTTCATTTTCTGATTGCTGCATTTATCCCTTTCAGGTAAAAATGCTCTCCATCTGTCATCAAGACATGGACATTCTCTGTGTGTGCAGAAACTCTTGCAGGTAAAGTGCATCTCTAACACTATTTGTACCCGATTAATATATACTTCTGTGAACAAAAACTTGCCAAACTGCACGATATGATCTCATACATATACATATACATATATAAAGTCTTTGGCTTTATGTTATTTGGTTGTGAGTATGTTCGTCTGTCAGTACGCCTGGAGAAAAGTGTCTTCAAATTTGTTCCACCTTGATTTTTTGTTTTGTTTTTGTTGATCAAAGGCTGCTTTGACCTCAAAAAAACTATTTTTGGCCGCTTATGCAGACTTGTTATGACAATTTATAGAAAATGTAAAAGGGTTTACAATAATGGAAATGTATTGTGGTGGAGAGATTTAGCATATTTACTGTTTGGCTGAGGCATTTTATCGCAAGGTGGTTATTCTAGCTTGTTCACTTTGCTCCTCATGTTGGTGTGTTGGACTCTACTGTATGTATTCTGCGCAGAGCAGCGTCCCAGTCACTGGCCAGTCAGAGCAGTTTCTCTCTCCGCTCCTTTAAATAATTATTGCCGTAGAACTCTGGCAGCTGAGCCCACTCCGTATCGGTCACCAGTCGGCCCTGTTGAGTCACCGTGCCCCTCTGGGGGATTTATGTGTTTACAATCAGGGGGCTATCTCTGCAATATTGTGCTCCCACAGCGTCCCTGCCCTTTACCCCGCCCACACCTCTCTCTCTCAGGGTGGTGATCTAACGGAGGTCTCTGCTGTTGGCAGGCGGGTTGTCGCTCGTGTTGACAAGCCTGCCCTGCTGCAAACTTGCCGTCCATTCTGGGTGCCGTCATCACACCAGACATAGCAGCTGGACGCCAACACCCTCCACCTCCACTATCTCCCTCCGTCAGCCCGAACCCTCAAGGTGTAGGATGTCCCTCCCCCCCTCCATGCTCCACCGTCAGCTCCCGTTGCTGTTCTACACCCCCCTCCTCTGCGCTTTGTCATTTGAGAGCGCTGCTCAATTTTGGCCCTTGTTGCTGGAGAGAGTTGGTTTTTTTAGGGGAGGCCTGAGCTCCCTGCCAAGCCTACCCAGCAACATGGGGCCCCCGTTAGCATTGAGTCCTCAAGGCTTTCATAGCGGACCCTCATCACTGCAGTCCTACTCTCCTGAATGCCGGGGTAGAGATGTCATAAGCAAATCAGCGCAGCGCTACTTAGCCTAAAGTGACCTGCACACTGTTGCCTCGCAGTCTCCACTGTGAACATGTATTATTTACTTTCACAACTACATTATTGAACAATTATTAAACGCTTTTTTAAAAGAAGTCAACCGTGGGCTTCCCTTTTTTTGGAGTAGAGTCTTTCATTCATCTGATCCATATCACTGAAATGATTTTATTGTTAATTAAAATAAGATGATGTTTTCCCTGTGGTTTGTTTGTCTGACTGTCAGCAGGGTAAAGGAAAATATTTTTGCCCAATTTTCATTTAGCTTTTAGCTTGGTGGAAATGTGTGGCCAGGAAAGATCCCATTACATTTTGGAGTGGAACACAATCACGAGGCAGATACACAAAGTCATTTATTCTATTGAAACAGCCTTGTAAGAGTTTTGGGCTCTCCAACCTCACTTAGTAGTTAAATAGTTTGTTTTTCTAACTTTGAATAAAGGAAATCAAGCCTAGGGTCAATGACTCAAAAACAACCAAATCAAGCCAAAATAATTTCCACTCTGCTTTTGTTGATCTATGGAGTTGGCTAATTTGCTATAATGAAGAGGGCCAACCAATAGTGGATCAACACTATCATATCAAGTAGACTCATTATTTAATTGGATCTCAAAATGTATAATTGGGGCCTTTTTGTGCTTTGAAGGATGGCACCGTGCCTTTTTACTCTACTGTGTGAACATCAATTTGATTCAGTTGTTCTAACTTTTCTTTGTTATTTTTGCAGCACAACAGTCCAGTTGGAAATGTGGACCTACAAGGAAGAACAGCTCTACATGATGCTGGTAAGACTCTACTCTGAAACTGACTGAACTATAATTTACCCCACTCCTAACTCCACTCTTCAGTTTCTAACTCCACTCTTCAGTTTCTAACTTCACTCTTCTACAAATACTACTTTACTTTTCAATGCAGGTGCTCTGAAAAAAAGCAACTACAGCAAGACCCCCTTACAACATAATTTGTTATTGTAAGCCCCACGGATAAGCTAATGGATGTGCTTTTGAAATGACTACGACTAAATTAGAGGGTGCATCTCAATATGCAGAACAGCCCTGAAGCAGTACGTGATGAGAGAGAGAGAGAGAGAGAGATGCCTCTCCCTGTTGATTTTCAGTGGCTATTGTTAATGCACTTATTTATACATTAAAATATAATTATGGGCTTAAACCACAAACATTTATTGGGGTTGCTATGGCTCACTAATGGTAGCTAAAGCAGCCTCGTCCGCCTCCCTGTCGCTGCCTATGTTGACCTCATTAACTACTTTACCCTATTTTTGACTTACCTTAGTAATGAATATTTAAAATCATTGAAAACCCAGACAGCTCTTCAACTATATTTTCAGTCCCTTAGCAGAGAGGATGTCATGCTCACATGGATGATAATATCTGCCAACTTACACAAAAGGTTCTGGTATAATATTGTGAAAATGTGCTTGTGGTGCTTTTCACATTTTCAGCATATAAACCTGGTCCATGCTGTGGCTCGACCTGATAGATGGATGTATATTTCAGCGATAAATGTGATTGCAGTCGTTTTCACTCTTTTCCCCCACAGTCATGGCTGGCTGCTCCTCCAGTGTGAAACTACTCTGTGACAGCGGCGCTTCTGTGAATGCCACTGATTTTGTGAGAATTGATTTTATTTATTCTTACACTCCATTTCACCCAGTTTTTGTGGCCTCTTCTAAGATATTTACCTGTTCAGTTATCATTGTAGAAAATAATATTGATCTTGATCTTCTCCTTAAAGGCTTTTACCTTTTCATGTAAGGTCAGTTAGAGAGGCACAAAAAGCTTTTCACTAAATACGAATTCAGTCAGCTCCAATGAGCACTCTCTATTGTGATCCTTTCTACAATTAGATTTTTTGAATGGCACTGTCATACCTGTGATTTTGTGGATGGGTGTACATGTGTTCATTTCTGCGTGTGTATTTTGTTTTTCTCCAGGATGGAAGGACACCTCTGGTACTGGCAACCCAGATGTGTCATCCACGTATCTGTCATCTCCTGCTGGAGCGAGGGGCCGACTTCACCACCCGCGACAAACAGAACAAGTAAGAAAGCCCCCCCCCCCCCCCATGGTGGTGTTTGTCTCTGAAGGCTTGGCAAATGTCAATTTTAATAATCATTCCTGGAGAGTTCCCTGCAGTGACAATCTTTCAAACAATACAAACATTTACAAAGAGTCACACTATTTAGAGCCATTTCTATAGATTGGAGTAGTGTCATGATTTCATACATTTTAAAACATATGAGTGCCTGAGAATGTCCTAAATGTATCATCAACAATGTGTATGGTATTGTTTCTCATCAGCTTTTTTAACACAAAAACAGTTCTTAAAAAATGAATTAGAAAGACAACTCCATGTGGGGACATACACAGGAAAAATAGGGCCCGGCTTTAAATAATTTAAACAAAATAAAAGGTGAATTGTTGTTTTTGCTACACACTTGTTCCATAGCTAGTTTGTGAATGTTTTTCCTCATGAACTCTGTTTGTTGACCCCCTCAGGACTGCGCTGATCCTGGGCTGTGAGTACAGCTGTAAGGATGCAGTGGAGGTGTTGCTGAAGAGCGGCTCTGACGTGAAGGCAGTCGACAGCTTAGGTCACGACGCTTTACACTACGCTCGCATCAGCAAGAACATGGAGCTTGTTGCGATGGTCAAAAGTTACCTGGACAAATCCACCAGAGGTCAGAGTCAGACAGAAAATAAAAGAGTATTGGAGCAGTTTGTTTGAAACCATTTGCATGATTATAGCAGAAAACGATCAGACGTGTACAGCAGAAAGGAAGGTTAACTTCTTAAATTGTAGCCTGTAGATAGGTAGCCCAGGAAGTGCTGTTTTGAAATCCACTGAAGTCGTAATTTTTAAACTAACCTCACCATTTGTTTAATAAAGATAATCTGTATATATTTTCTGTTTATAGTGAAAGGTGATTTTAGATGGAGAGCATAATATCTGCAGTGTTGTGCCTTAAAATTACACTTGTGGAAAGATGTGGAAACAATCATACATGCATGCAAAAACAGCTAATACCTTGAGGATGTTTAGCTTTTTAGGTAAAATTTCGAATGATTGTCTTTGCAGATTTTAAATATTGTCGCATTATTCTGAATGGGTTTTTATTTTCATGTCTCTATGTCTTTAGGTGTTTTCAACACTTTTCAGTTTTAATATCTCACAATATTTTGAGCCATAGGATTGACCTTTACAATCATTTCCTGTGACCATATTTTCTGATGCATTTTTTGCCTTCTTGTGTGCATTCCTTATTGTCACACTGCTCTGTAAACATACCTGTTTTTGTCCAATCTTGATAAAACGTAGGAGGAAGTCTGAACTTGCTGTTTTCTTGCTTTCTCCAGATAAGGAGGCTGCAAAGATGGAACAGTGGAAGCGACAGGTAAACCTGCAGCCTTACTGACGCACCATATCCATCAAACCTCACCTTTATCAAAGATCAGCTTTTATTCTCTATGCTTTACATATTCTAATCTATTGGACTTAAATAATGTCTATGAAGCATGATGGGAATAGCAATAAACTGACGTCTTGTATTATCTCTTTTGTTTAAAGATGACAAAGGTCAGGGTTGCTTGCACCCAGAAGCCATTATTGACATTAACACTTTAGAATTCTTTCTTGACAGCATTCAAATGCTTAGACTCCTGGCGCCTCGAGATTCTGTATGTTCTTCCACTTTTTCCACATTTTATATAATATTTTTTGTGGCAAATTTGTGAACATGTTATGTGCTCACTGCCGCTCAGGTATGCATCACTGCCATCTAGTGATTTAAAGTGAGAGTTGTTACTAAGGTGTGTATAGCCTATGGTCATGTTATATCTTTAAAACATGGTCGTTAAAAAGATCCTGTCTCCTCCTCAGCATTCAGTGGAGAAATCAGAGGCAGCTGAGGTTAACCGAAGGGATCAGGTCATACATGTAAGTGCTGTATAACTTCAGCCTCCCAGCCTATTAATCACAATTACTCATTTATTTTGTAAGAATGAGTCATTAGGACATCAATGTCCATAAATAAGTGATTGATTTCTTATTTTTATGACAGTAATTGGATTTAGCTTGGTTCAAATGTGTATGGTTTATATATGTGTGTGTGTGTGTGTGTGTGTGTGTGTGTGTGTGTGTGTGTGTGTGCCTCTCCAAGTCCTGAACACACACACACACACACACACACACACACACACACACACACACACACATATATAAACCATACACATTTGAACCAAGCTAAATCCAATTACTGTCATAAAAANATATTCATGTATACAAGACATCACAAAGTGCATTTTGCATGATAGGTCCCCTTTAAGATAAAAAAAAACACAACAATCAATATATACAAAATAATAGTCACTTCAATATCTTTTGGAAAGTACATTAGTGCACTTTTATGTGGGTAACAGAAATTATGAATTGTTTATTGATAATTAATGAATTGATAACTTTAAAACATGTTTGTGTTAACGCAATGACTTATAGTTAAAATCACGGGTTGGGGAGGATGAACGGAGCATAAACTAGCAATAAATACTTATGAAGGTCTTAAAGACAGCACTGTCTTTACCCAGATACTTTTTGAAGTATTGATTTCCTTACAGAAAGTTGGTGGCAGACTGCGTATCCCATACAGTAGGTGTAAAATCAAATCAATTTCACACTGACTAAATCCATTCCTGTTGAGTAAGACGACATTCTTGAAAGTCATTTATCACTTTTGATCCACTTCAATCATCACTGAGGTAATTAATATTTAACCACATACCGTAGCCGTACAGTAAAAGTGACGGATAAACATTCATTTTCTGAGCAAAAATCATTGCATAGCCCGAAGGTGGTTGACTGCGTGCGGCTCACTGCGAGCAGTAGATCTGCTGGTGCAAGCATGCTAACAACATATTAACCCTGTTGGTTACTTCAGGGCTCAGCTTTCCAGGAGGCTACTAAATTAGCATTAGCCAGTGAAGCAATATGCAATTAAGCCAAGTCTGAACCATGTCACAGGCAGATCAACACCATGCAAAGTCATGCTAATTGGCTTAGCACTAAGCCTGTTTGAAGTGTGCACGGTAGTGGTGCTGGCTTGTGACTGATACACAAGTCTGGCCCCATCAAAAGGATGCCCGGGCAGCCTAACCTTCGCTTTAGTCGTACATCAGCGACTGATTCATTCACAAGCTACTGACTCTACAGTTGATTGTGGAGGATTCTCAATGAGGCAGCAACATTATGGCAGGGGACTCTTGGTTCAAAATGGTAGCTTAAGAAATAATCTTTCAGCAAGACACAAAACCTCTGATCACTATGGTGGAGCGCCCAACAAAAAGACATGAACAAATGTACACTGAGCGGTGTACTGCACAGATATGAAACTGAATAATCAGCCAGAAGTCAGTCATTTTATTTTGTTAGCATGTGCAAACCACATGATGTTTTTTAGAATTAAATCAATGCACCATATTGTTGAATAGGACAACTTTTAGGGCATTTTTCACTTTTCCACTCTCATTCTGTTTCAGAAAGACTTTCAAGGACGTGAGCTTGGATCTGCTTCTGCATGACGCCTCATGACCAGCCACTTTGAGTATTACATTCATCCTTCATCAGCAATCGATCTGAAGCTATTTGAGAGGGATGATGTGTACAGGTGTGAATTTGGAGAGAAGAAAACTCTTGCTTGATCTCCTCTTATCTGCCAACAGGCTGACAGCCTCTCCCTCTCTAGGAAAATATTAGCATTCCTGCAGCGCACACCAATCCCAATCCACCTTGTTGGGTCAGAGGAATCAAAGCGGTGCACATCTGAGGAATATCAGAGAAGGGGCGCATAGATTAGTGCCGACGGGTTGTATCGCTAATTAAAGTATAAGAGAGAAAACCGTGCTCGGCTGCTCTAAGGATACGCCGCTGTCAAATGATTGGCTTCAGGTAATCAATAGGCTGCCTGGGTGGGAGAGGCTAGGTGATAGGACCCTCCATTTTGCATTTTAAATAAAAAATCCACAGTGAGGAAAATAAAATAGTGATCTCAGTGTTTTGGGGGTGAAATGGGAAAAAAAACACGATATGAAATCTATAATGATCAGAGGCACGTGTTAATTAAAACCTATAAATGCAAATTTGTTCACCAACGCAGACGAACAGATCAAAGTAAAAGTAATTTTACATTTGACTAAATAACTGAACAGCCTTCTCGGTCTAATCATTTCAAAGATTATACTCTCGCCAACAAATTCGATAAACTTCCTCTGTTTGGGGATGCAACGGTATGAACAGATTCATGTTTCATTAATCCAAAATGTAACAAGCACTATAATTCTCATACACCAAAAACTGCCTATTGAGCCCTTTATCTCTATTTATCTATCTATCTTTATCTCTATTCTGCCTTTCTTGCTTTTAACACATCTACCTTAAATTGTATTCTGTATTGCTGAGAAACAATTCTCATTAAATTATACATTTATCTAATTTAAGTCTCATTCAGTCACACAAACTTTATCACAATGTCCCTATAATAAACTTCTTGAAGTTTCTTCTTTAAAATGATCAGATGTCCCAAAAGAGGAATTATTATGTCACTCTGTAACTGTTTAAATTATCAACTGTGTGTCATTGTAAGATTATAATGACACACAATGTTGTGTTTCGTTGTGTGTTTATTACCATGGCCCCCATGTGGCAGTCAAAATCAAATACATTACATTACATTGCATTTAGCTGATGCTTTTATCCAAAGCGACTTACAATAAGTGCATTCGACCAGGAAGATACAACCTTGAAGAAAACAGAATCATATAAGTACATCAGGTTTCATAGAGCCAAACATTTCAAGTGCTACTCAACTGGCTTTAGATAAGCCAGTCCTTTGTTAGTATATAAGTGCTTTGTTAGTACTTTGTTAGTAATTCTTTGTTAGTAATTCTTTGTTAGTAATTATTTGTTAATAATTCTATCGCTCGAAGTGGAGTCTAAAGAGATGAGTTTTCAGTCTACGCCGGAAGATGTGTAAGCTTTCTGCTGTCCTGGTTTCAATGGGGAGCTCATTCCACCATTTTGGAGCCAGGATAGCAAACCCACAAGTTTTTGCTGATGGGAACTTGGGTCCCCCTCGCAGTGCGGGTGCAGCGAGCTGTTTGGCCGATGCAGAGCGGAGTGCAC